TTATTACTATTTATGACATACTTTTCTTCGGATCACGAAACGTGCGTGAATTTCAGCAGTGGTCGTGTGCATAAATGTTTTTGGTGCAAGTATGCTTGCAAAATATTTTTTCTCAATATCCCTCACCCCCTCCCTCAAAGTCAAATGGTCAAACCTCTAATTCGTATTGTGTCCAAGCTCTGGAAGACCGCCTTTTGGTGTTTCTGTTTCAATATCAATCGAACGATTCGCCGCTAATGTCTCCCGCACTCGAACGGCTAAATTAAAGTCAAGTGATTCTTGACGTGTCCGGCATCTCAGGAAACGTTTAAACTCCGCCCTTATATCTCTCTTCAGCAGTGAATACACTACGACATTAACGGCAGAATTTAGGAAAATTAGGATTCTGGAAACTTGAACAAATTCTCTGGTCACAGAGCACAGGCTGAACACATCACAGAATCCACGATAAGCTGAAAGTAGCCAACAGAAGACAAACAAGAGTGCAACTGATGCGAACACTTTGAGACTGGATCTCTCCCTGTTTCTTTGTCTTCTTGTCTTTGTAAAGTTACGGCCGCTGTAGCGTTCTTTAACACTTTCCAGTGCAGCGATTCTTCGAGAATGAGCTCGAGTTATAAAGTATAAGTGAGAGTACACTAAAAGCATCAGAAAGCACGGTATTATTTCGAAGCAGATCACCGTCAATCCACCGTATACTCTGTGTACTATGTCTCTTTCTTTGTTGGTACCTGACGTTTGCCACAACAAAGGTAAAAGTGAAATACCTGTAGGTATTGTCCAAGCGGTAAATATCATAACCAGGACCTTTGAACGAGTCATCAAAGAGCCGTATTTCAATGGTCTCGTGATGGCAAGATATCTATCTCCAGTCATAACACATAAATTGCCAACTGACACATACAAAATAAGATTGTAGAATGTCAAAAGTGCAAGAAGGTTTAACTGTACCCAGAACGTATGAAAAATGTATGTAGGTATTACCACGAGCCCGACAAGTAAATCTGCTAATGATAGTGAGACAATAAACCAGTTAGCGCTGACGTGAAGAGTTCTCCTTGTCAAGATTAGATATATAACGACCGTGTTTCCGCAGACTGTTGTAACTCCAATGGAGACGACCAGGACCCAATACCAATAAGCATCCCTCTCGTGTAGGCTATTCATCGATGCCTTCAGGTTCCCTCCTAAGTGACCACCAGCGAAATAAAAAGTTTATAAATGTAGTTGGAAAGAGGAATAAGGGATTCCTAGAGCTTTTGAGTCTAGAACTCAGTAGGCAAGAAAAAGCTAAACAATGTTTTATGATATTCAGTAATAACGAGCTAGATAGCCATGAGAAGATATGAACATTACATCACGCCATAGTTAATAGAGTGAAATGGTTAGGAAACCTGGCAAAGTTCTTTGTTGTATGCTTTTGTTTGCTATTTTGGGGGCTGGCCCTGCCCTAAACCTAGCAAAATACAAAAGTTGGTTATGTGTGCTTATAAAACTAACCAATACAAGCACTGCGATAACAGTCGATCCTCCGGTTGCGACCACCATTCGTAAGTGACCACCTCTCCTCAGCGACCACTTTTTCAAAATACCAAAAGTTTCCCACTCAAAATGGAAATCAATATATTTGGAACCTCTTGTAAGCGACAACGTCTCGTAAGTTACCGCGACCACTTTTAGAGCTAACAGTTTGAAATTTTCTTTTGTTTTCAAACTCCCGTAAGCGACCACTTGACAGATAATAGAGCGGAAATTGAAAAATAAGGTGTTGTAATATTATCTCATTCCTGGGTCGTACAAAAGACGAAAAGTTCTCAACGGGAAGTACCGGATCTTTTCTCGAAATTGACTTTTCACCAGAATAAAACGTTTAAAACATCGGGTAGGTCTCTGCAGTTAACATATGTTAATAAGGCAAAATTTTGAC